AATCTGCCTACAAAAATGATATTGTCCGATTCAGTTGGAACAAAAATGCTTCAAACAAGTAAGACTTTCTCTGTATATGACCGACATATATACATCTTTCACTTAGATCAGTATTAAAAGCTCTATTGGCTCCTACATTCGGGTTTTGATAGGCGAGTCTCCCCTGAACCGGTTTTTCCATATTTTTGGTCTATGTTCGCTTTTATTCGAAACCTAAATGTTTCTGTACCGAGTATCGAGAGTATTGGATACTTAAAAGTATTGACTCAGCACACTGCTGTCATCTCGACTGTGACGTCAGCAAAACAGATGATTCTGTCAAATTCACTGAGAGCCGATTAGCGGTATTGTCATCGGCGCCACCTTCTGTATTCTCTCCACCGTGATTAAAGACGCTTTCCCTATGGCTGCGTTTCTTTATACATTCCGGATAATCCCATTTCACAGCCGGAATAAACAGAATGCGTTTGAAATATACGTTAACATATCATCAGGAACGTTCTAAAGAATAAGTAAACAAAAAAGTTTATTCATAACGTTCAGAATGAATAAATAAATGCAGCCTATATGTTTGGTTAGACTTTTCATAAGTAAAAATATTTTGTGAATATTACTTTTTCTTTATGAATTATATCACATTTTTTGTTATGTGTTTTTTTTGGAATAAACAAAGTTCTTTTTCCTTCAGTCAGTAAACTATTTTTGTAACAAATAGTATAAATAAGCAATGGGAAATAAGACAAAATGTTTTATTTTCAACCTTTGTTGGAAATAAAGAAAACCTCAGATTTTGGTATTATTTCCCATTTAAAAGTGAAATAAAGTGAATTTTGCGTTGTTTGCGTTTGTGTTATCTTTTAATTAATGGCCAACTTCCTTCTGTTAATGGTAATGTCAATTCCAACCTTTATGTTATAATTTGTTAAAAACATTCCCATATGATTAGCATGTGTTATGAAATAGTTTTTTCGGATTTTCTGACGAACGTGTAATTTTGAGTTATGTCACCTTTAAAGATCGTATATACGCATGGTGGAATAATACAAGGTGTTGGATATTGACAGCGTTCTCGCTCTAATCTGCCATCTTGGCTCCCTTAGCAAAATCGGTGTTTCCCTCTTGAAAAAACTACATTTTACCGCCTTTAAAAAAACTAAACTACCTCATTCCCTTTTCCAAAACTGATTTGCAATCACTGAACAATTCTTTGACATTTACTTTATTCTTATTCGATGACAAAATTAAATTAAAAATTAAAATCATTAATTCGACAAAAAACATTGGCTTTGTGTATTCTCCAAAGGCCTAAAATCAGCCAAATACCCTATGTGGGTCGGCTTAATCAGTAAAACGTGACAGTAGTTGACTTTTGAGGTTAATATATCGGTCTTGAGCTGGTACGGCTTTTAAAACATCCGCAGCTTCCTTTAAAGCATCGCTGCTAATTGCTGAGAGGACCAGATTATATTTCCGGACATAAGATGTGGTCTTGTACGACTGAAGGTGGCCTCAATTTGTAGAAACCATTTGTTTGGCATCTCAGTTCAGAACGGTCGCAGCTTGCATTGCGATACAAGCTCCACATCTTTAGTTGGCATTTTGTTCGATGAAATATTTTCCCCATCCGTCGATGCGCCCTTTTGTCGACTCCGTCATGTTGTAACGACTCGGGGTCACCACTAATTTTTTGATGGCGAAATTTTTGTAAGTTATATCAATCATCTTATAGTATTTTCGGGTAAAAATTAGACCCCAAAGCGGTTTTGGAAGTTTGACTATAATTATAGGACATTGTGTTTAATAAACTAAATTACCATTTATTGCATAAGTGCTACGTAATATATACTACTTTCGCAAATTTAGCTTATCATAATATACCGTTTGTTACTATTTATATGCAAAATTTGATATGAAAGAGTACCAAATTTCGTACTACTTCGCAAAGCGTGCTTCTTTTCTTCCCGTTTCTCTCGTTCTTCCATATTACAACCTTTTGTAAGGGAGCCGTCGACATGAGCTGTCACTACGTACAACACCTTGTATAATTCCACCATGGTGAGAAACTTGCTTAAAAATCGAATTTTTTGTTGTGATTCATTGACGTTTTTGTGGAAAAATTAACAAAATTTTTAAGTTAAATGAAGAAATCACTTAAAATCTGTGAAATCTTGCAATATTTTTTAGCAAAAAGCGCAGTCGGACAGTAAATGTTGGATAGGCGCAGCACCGAACAATTGAAATTTCAATACATACAAACGGCAAATAAAAGGTGAAGAGAAAGAATTAAATTAATATTAAGAGGTTTGGGGAAGGAGGCAATCATACCAGGTGGGGACACATGTTTAAATACCAAGTAGATAAAACAAAAAAGAAAAGTACTACAAATAGTTTAAAAGGTATATATTAATAGCGGTAACGGCGAATTATTAATCTAAACCAGTAAAATTGTTGACTGAAGTACATATAGGGCCAGGAGAAACCTTAAACTGTCCGGAAAAGTTAATTAGTAACGGGGCTGAAAAAATTGAACAATACAAGCAAACAAAATCCAAAGATCATCATTGTAGCTAGAAGCACTGAATTCATCATAGTATTGACATTAATTTGACTTTTGCCTTGTGGAATTGACGCAGAACAAATTCACACTTGAGCGCAATTGGAATCCATAGCAATAGCTAAATTGGACAATGAACGAAACAGCAGCAGCTACTTCCTCCTCGTCGACGTCGTCGGCAGCGGCGGTTGCAGATAGTGCCAGTGCAGCAGCAACCACTAAAACTGCAAATGCTGTTGGAGCATCAGTGGCTGGGGCGGGTAATGCAGCGGCAGCAACTACCTCTACAACAACAGCAGCAAAATCAACAAGTGTGAAGCTTCTAATTAAAGCATCAAATCAACAATATGATGATCAAGTTCTCGAAATTGACTTGCTATGGACGGTAAAACGGCTAAAAGCACACTTAGCACTGGTGTACCCTAATAAACCGGTAAGTATTGATTGTGTTTTTAACGAAAAATTCCAAATCACTCAACATTAAAATGATAATTAAATGATAATGTATGCATTTGTCCTATCAATATTTATGTGCATTTTTTTGCAAATATTGTTTGAAGGTATCGTTTAATTGTAATTAGTAGTCTTATCCCCATAATTATTAGTACCTATGTATAAATTCTATATAGCCAACACTAGAGCGGACTGCGACTCTCGTTCGGAAGGGCGGTAGGACGGCAACCGTTTGGGTTTGTAATAGTAGAAGAAATGCACTGTTTAGCTTTGCAAAAAAAAAAA